TTTTATCTTCACAGGAAAACTCATCTTCAGAAGGCAAAGGACACTGCATGGGTGGATACTTAAGAAGAAAAGGTAGCTATAACCATCAAATACAAGGAATGTGCCATACGGTAAACTTTACAGCTGTCTCTCAAAAAAACTCTATTTCTCTTTATTTCCTAGTCCCTATTCAATTAAACCAATGCTGGATTTAGAGGTGGATTTGGCTTTCCTCCTCTAAAATCCAAGCATATTATTTAACTAAGCTTTAGTGTTTCTGTGTTGTATCAAAAAGCCAATTGATGTAATACAGAATAAAAGAAAAATTTGGGGATTGTCTTTGTCTTTTCTTGGATCTTTCTCTCAAGGTGTACACCCTTTCATAATTGTTATGCTCTCATGGTTGCATTCCCTAGTATGTGTACATACACAAGCAAACATTTCTCTGCTAACTGTTTATGTTTGAGTCCCACACAGCCAATAAGGTCAGACATCTTATTCCCATCCCACTTTTAGTCCATTCATTCTCATTAGGATATATTAATCTTACTAAATAATGAGTGCTATTACGATATTTCCATACATGTGTATGTAAAGTACCTTAGTTATAGTTATCCTCCCCTACTTCATTACCGTCCATTTCCTATCTTGCTTGTCCCTTCCTCTTTTTAAACAATCTACTTCTGTGCCTTTCTGTTGTTGTTAAATCTAGATACTATATATGAAAGAAAACATGCTGTATTTGTCTTTCTAGCACTGACTCGTTTTGCCTGAAAAATCAGTTTCCTTATCTGTGAAATCCAGTTGTACTTGTCACTATAGTTATCTAAGTGAGCATTATATAAAGAAATGAGATGTGACTGAGAAAGCAGTTATTTGTTTTGAACATTTTATAGAGTCAATTTAAAATGTTTTAAATTATATTCAAGATGATGACAAAATATTGTAAGAAGTTCAAACACTTATGTTTCCAGATTCCTTCATTAGTGTTTTCACTCAAGTGAGATTCCAACTGGAAATGTAAATAACGTGTTATAATATCGCTTGTACAAGGAAGAGAATGGAAGGAACTAAGGAGATAGGGTAATCAGTAAAATATTTTCTCGGTAAGAATGAGGACCTAAGTTTGGATACCCAGTGCCAGGTAAAAAGGTGGGCCTAGTGGGCCCCCATGATCTTGTAGTGCCGAGGAGGCAGAAACTGGTGGAAAACTGGAGCTGGCCAGCTAGCTTGTAATGCCAAGTCAATCTGTCACAGGTTCAGTGAGAGATCCTGCCTCAAAAAATAAATGGGCCATAGATTCACAAAGAAAGGCAACTGACTCTGACTTCTGGCCTACACACACATACATGTGTATGTACACATGTATATACTCACATGTGTACACTAATACATATAAATGCATCATACACACACAAAGCAGAAAGCAGAAAGAGGTGTTTGATTCAGCAGTGGAACCCGTGTTCTTGGCCACATCTTAAAAGGTTAATGAATAAGCATTTATATGTTTTAGTATCAAAAAATGATACTAAATTAAGGTATATACTAACAACTTTAAAATAATCGCCCTTTAGTTAAACAGCTACTCAGACTGATGGCAGCATATCAATAGTTTCATGGTACCTGTCTTCCTGATTCTTATATTTGGTCTACAAAATTTCCTTTCTCCTAAACCCTTCCTTAATTACTGAAAAGGAATTGGTATGCATAAATTACCACAGCCTCAAAACAATTTCCCTGGGTGCATCATTCACTCATGTTCAATAGTTTTACTGTTCTAATTGCTGCCATTTTCATGGAGAATTCACTACATGGTCAAATACAAACATTATCTTAATTTTGGGATTCTCAGGCAGAAAATAGGGTTATTGCCACAGCTTATTGTTTTATGCATTTAAAAACACAAATATTAATGTTCCTCATATGGTTGGTATTGAATATGTAACATATAGTATTGGATTCATTCATTATAATGTTGAGTAATTTTGTAAATTAGTGTTTCTGTGTATATAAAAGGCAAAAGAAAAATATTTACATCAGGAAGCTTGATATGCCTATTGTCCCAGTTACAGGAAAGGCTTCTTTTGATCACTTTAAACCAAGAGGTATGAAACAGGCTGTGTAAAAAAAGATGTAAAATCCCATGCTGTAGCTTTAAAATCCCTTTCACATGGATGTATCCTTGAAAATACAAGAGACAAATCAGTTGTTCTTCAATAGAGAACCACGAACAAATAATAAAACCACAACGACACGGGCAGCCTCAGGATGTAGGGGAAGGTTGTTGTTTTTGTTGATAGTCAATATTCTAAAGAGTCTTCTTGGGTTTCTGCTAAAATCTCTGAGTTGGAACAAAGCCTGGGATCTTCCACTGTGTGTCTTCACCAATGCATGGCTGCTGATGACAGCATTTGCTCATGAGCCTTCTCTGCAGGAGAGGCAAAGCCTTTAGGGAGAAGAATTTTCCATCAGAGTAGACATGCCATGGTTGATCTGTCAGAGAGAGTCAGGCTGGCCATTCTTCTCCCTGAGGGTGTTAGGGAAAGACAATGTCAAAGAAAATGCTAACATTTTCATTGAAGGCATTTGGTGAATTAGTAAGTGTCCTAAGAAATCAAAAGCACAGGAAGGACATGCACTAGCATCTCTTGATTTAAAATTACCACACAGATCAACTTAAAAAATCCCCTATATTTCTTCTGATGATCCAGTAGTACAAATACATGGCTGACATTACATGATTTTATACATGGTTCATATTTATCATCTGTTTTACAAATATTTATCAGATTTCTACCACTCCAATGCACAGTGATGGGCTCCAGGGGTTGTTGTGTTTAGCAGAAACAGATATAAAGCCTTTTTACATATTAAATGTGGAAAGCACAAATATGGCATCATACATAAGGAAGTGTTAACCACATGTATGCATAAATACAAAGCTAAAAGTTTTGCATCTTTTCATGTGTGTCATAATGTAGTTTAATGCATGGCTAGCATGTAGGACTTGTATTTAGAAATGGTATGATTTGATATTTTAACATGAAAAGAACAAAGAGAATTCTTGCTCTAAAACAAATCAAATATGCAAACCATCAGCTTTAAGGCTATTAGTATTGCTTCTTGCTGTATAGTAAGATGTTCTGCAACTGCCAACATCAGTTACATGCAAAAGTGAATATGAAAACTCTAAACATACAATATATATAATATATATACATATACAAACACACACACACACACACACACACACACACACACACACACACACACTCCTAAAAATAGTGAAACTTCAAGGAATTTCCGTGTTTGATTTTTGTGAACATTGCTTGCAGGAGGCATCTTCACTGAGTTTGAAGCCTAGACTTACTAAGGCCTGATCCTGCAATACAGAAGCTCACTTCATGTCACCCATGTAAATACTCAAGAAAGTGATAATTTTATTTTGTGCTAGCTATTTGCACCTAGTGAGGAGTTAGGCATGAAGCCAGAATCCCCAGACCAGCCAGGCTGTGTGTGTGTGTGTGTGTGTGTGTGTGTGCGCGCGTGCGCGTGTGTGTGTGTGCCTGCGTATGTATGTGTGTGTGTCCTTTGATGACAGTAGAGGAAGCTCCCCACACCAGACTGTATCCTTCCTCTCTTCAGGTTGTGTCACCCACAGGGACGTCGGGAGTATTCAAGGCCATAGCTGCCCCCTAAATCCACTGTATTACCTTCTGTTTTGTGCAACTGTTCTCCTTCTCTGTCTCTGAATTCTGTCTCTGAATTCTGTCAACACTTGCCCTGGATGTTTCATTTCATCCTGTCAACCAAGTCACCATCCCATTGGGACAGCATGAAAGCTGTTACATTAGTTTCAGAATTAAAGAAACTGAGGCTCTGGGCATTACAATTACTCATTCAAACTAAAGAGATTCTGCTAAACTCCTCTGTGTTCTGGCAAAGACCAACATTATGAGAGAATGGAGCCTAAGAAAAATATTGACCCACAAAGGTATAATTGTGACACTGAGTGCCAAGATTGGAGGGGGTTTCTTTTCATGTTATACATGAAAGTATCTATGTGGTGTTAGGCATGTCTATAAAGTATGCATGTGAATAAGCTCAGTGATTATGACATTCTGTTTACTCACCTCATGAAGACTAATGGCAAATGAAGAGCTGTTCATGTAACATTCACAGAACATTTAAATCTTTACATTTCAGAATGCCTTCTGATAGAAGTTATTTCACTAAGGTGAAACTGTGACAATGAGTTTCATGGGGAGATACTATAAGAAGCATTTTGTGATAGCATTTCTGAATGAAACTAATATCAAGTTTTTGCATTTGAGTTCATCTATGTGCTCTTCATAGTTGAAGTGGGCCACTTCAGTGAGATGAAAGCCTGATGGAAACAAAATCTGACCCTAGCAAAAGTCTAAGTCTCCTCAACCTTGTGCATGCTGGCCTTCAGCGGTGACACCAGCTTGTCCTGGATCTCAGTACTCTGATAGACTACCCTTCAGACCGCGAACATGGCAGTCTGATTATGCTTGAGCTCTCCATTAAAATAAATATCTTTCTCTATTTACATAACCTTTGAATTCTGTTTTCTGGTTTGGAGGGATAGAGAATCCTAAGTCATTGTTAACATTACCTTTTAAGAAGGTGTATCAATGTATCCAACCTTCAGTAGGGTGCAGTCCATCAAAATGGGGTATGAAAGTCAGGGATCATGTGCTGTATTTTTTTTTATTGAACTTTATTCATGGTTTGATTCAGGCACTCACTTATCCAATACATGGTGGCATCTGTGGTAGCTGTAGGTACTGTTCTAGGAGCTCATACACTGTGGAAAGAAGTAACAGCATCCTGGTTCTTGGCTTCTTCTCATTTATGCAGAGCAGGCGGATGATGCATCACTAAAAAAGCAAAGAACAAAAATGAACAAAATGCTTTCTGAAATCTCTATAGGCAGAACATTTCTGTGCAAACAACTAGTGCAAATCATTTACTAGGGAACCTTCTAGGGATTGGTCATACACTTCTTGCCTTTAAAATAAGTGCAATGAGATATTTTAAAAGGATTATTATCAAGGTTAGAAACAATGTGTGGTGGCTTGAAAGAAAATGGCCACCAAAGGGAGTGGCATTCTTAGGAGGTGTGGCTTTGTTGGAGTGGGTGCAGTCTTATTGGAGGAAGTGTGTTATGTGAAGGAGGGCTTTGAGCTCTCATATATGCTCAAGTTACTGCCCAATCTCAGACCACTTCCTGTTGCCTGCATATCAAGATGTAGGACACTCAGTTACTTCTCCAGCATCATGTATACCTGAAGACACCATGTCACACCATGATGATAATGGACTAAACCTTTGAAAATGTAAGCCACCACCTTATTTAAATGTTTTTTCTTTATAAGAGTTGCCATGAAGGTCATGGTGCCTCTTCACAGCAATAGAAACCCTAGATAAGATACAGGGCTCATAAGGTCACATATGGCCCATCTAAAAACTAAAAATTGTGGTTAGTGAGGAGGAACAATATATGGAAGAATTAAAGTAGGTAAGCATAATAGAAATTATACAGTAACATATGTACTTAAAGGATGAACAAGGAAAACAAGGCAGATGTTCTCAGATGAGACTCACGCATGAAAGGAGAGGTAACATATATGGCACATATAGATAATGGCAGAATAATCAACACCTAGAAATTAATGATAACATAATTTGTCTCTTTCTTCTATTAGTCAAAGAATTCTGACTCACTTCTTTTAACATGGACATCTGCGAACTTAGAATCAGTAGTTTCTAATTTCCTCAAGTAAATCTTTGTCCCTAAATTTTTCTGGTGCTTTATTTACTTTCTCTTTGACATGAAAATGTTAATGAATATTTGATTCTAAATGTCTGTGGTAGTAGCAAATAAAGTCTAGTGTTTATCCAAAACAGTGATTTTTTAAAAAATTCTTCTCTCATATATTACATCCTGACTGCTGTTTCCCTTCCTTCTTCTCCTCCCAGTCCCTCCCCCTACACCCAGATCCACTACTCCTACCTTTCCCTTCAGAAATGGACAGACCTCCCAGGGTCATCAACCAAACATGGCATATCATATTGCAATAAGCGTAGGCCCTTCCCCTCATACTAATACTGGACAACACAAACCAGCAGGAGGAAAAGGGTCCCAAAATCAGGCAAAGGAGTCAGAAACAACCCCTGCTCCCATCAATAGGAGTCCCCAAAGAACACCAAGTTATACAACTGTAAGATATATGCAGAGGACCTAGGTCAGACCGGTAGAGCCTCCCTGGATGTCAGTCCAGTCTCTGTGAGTCACTGTGAGCCTGGTCAGTTGATTCTGTTGTTGTAGGAGCCAGAGGGGTAAAGACAAAAACAGTGGTCTTCTAACCTCTTCACACAGCAGGAATACAAGGAGACTTGACAGACCACAAGTGCTATACTGTATGTTCAGACATTCTGGATGCATGCTGTGATATTTTCCCTGACATCAAAAATCTGCTTAGATTCCATTCATTAGAAAATTTCTCTATAAGCTAAGTATGTTTTTCTTAATTTTATTGAAAATGTATTTTTCCACCAAATATATTCTGATTATGATTTCCGCTTCCCCTCCACTGCCACTTCCTCACTGTCTCATCTCCCATCTGGAGCCACACCCTTTCTGTCTCTCCTTAGCAAACAAGGCATCTAAAGAATAATCATGAAGTAAAATAAAGCAAAATCAAAATATCACGATAGGAAAAAAAACCAACAAAAGAAAAACAGCCAGAGAAAAAGCATAGGAAACACGTATAGATGCAGAGACACACATTTGTATACACAGGAATCTCATAAAAACACAAAACCAGAAGCCATGAAATATATGCAAAGAACTTGCAAGTGAAAAACATTATGAAAACCTCCAAAAGAAAGCTCCAAAAATGCCTTTGAGTTGTTTTGTGTTGGCCATCTACTGTTGGACATGCAGCCTACCCTTAAGAGTGGTTTGTTTTTTTCCAGTTAGACTCCCTTGGGCAAAACTAATTTTTAATTTGCCAGTGGTTATCAAGAAGTGGTTATCATGAAGATGGTGTCTGGGTTAGTGACGTGGAATTGGATACATTTCTCCTGTCTGCACTGGGATCCCATGCACACTCATGCAGGCCCAGGTCTTGTGCTTGCTGCCACAGTCTTTGAGTTCGTATGTGTATCAGTGCTGCTGTGTTTAGGGGGCCTTGTTTTTCTGGTGGCCTCTAACTCCTCTGGCTCTTTCACTCTCTCTACCCTAAGCATGTTTTTTTGTTGTTGTTTATGTTTTTGTGTTTTATGAAGCTAAACTTCTGGAATAATTTTAAAGTTAAAACTGAGTTATACTCAACAGGTTACAGAAGAAATAGAATGTTTTCATTTTACCCAGGAAACTTTGAAATTATAGCTTCTTCTGAAAATTTTCCTTCTGAGTGTCAGAGGAGAGACAAAGGCATGAAGGTCAGCTAAAATTTCTGCCATATGTTTCTTTTCAAACTATGACATTAATTATTAAGCAGTTTCAAAATTTAAAATTAGAAATTCTTACTTAAGGTTGCAAGATACAATATACAAAAATTAGAAATGTGTGTGTGTAACTTTCCACACACACACATATATTTGCATATGTATTTGCATATATTGCATATATTTGCATATATATACATATACATATATATGGTTTTACCCTATTTAAGTTCAAGTTTAAGTCAAGAGTTTAAGTACATTTTCATTATTCTGCAATCTACCTCAGAACTTTTCTTCTTGCACAATTCCATATGTAAATATATCTATTAAAACAACCCTCACTGCCTCTTTATTTCTAGACACTACCATTCTATTTTTTTTTATGAATTAGACTACCATGGATGGTCCATCTGCACTGAGTCATACAGTATTTGTATTTCTGCAACTGTCTTTATTCACTTAGCATGTCTTCAAGGCTCAGCCTTGTTTTAACATGTAATGTGGATTTTTCTTTTTTAGGATGATTAATATTCCATTGTGTTTGTATGCTACATTATGTTTTAGCATAATCTTTCACCCATCTATAGACATACAGGCTATTTCTACCTCTTGGCTGTAGTTAATTGTGGTGATATATTGTTTATGATTTAATAAAGCTTTCCTGGGGATGGGAATGCAAAGCTGGCCACAAGCCATAGCAGCTGAGGAGTGGTGGCAAATGGTTAATCCCAGAACTCAGGAGACAGAGGCAGATGGATCTCTGTGAGTTCAAGGTCACCCAGGGTTACATGAGAGTGAATTAGTCTAAAAGAGAAACAGAGCTCATGCCTTAAATCCCAGCACTAGAGAGTATATAAGCACCTCATTGCAGCCTCAGAAAACAGTCTAGGATTCTGAGGCTTGGTAGAGAGCAATGCACTCTGGAGACACAATGTGAGGTTCAGTGGATCACCCCTTCAGTCTGAGCATTAATAAAGGTAAGAACTCTCTAGTGGCTGGATGCTTTGTTTCTCTGATCTTTAGGCAAGCTTTATTAAATCATAACCAATATATCACCACAGTTAATAATGGTCCTATGGATATGTATATGTAAATAATGCTTTGTTGTGTTGCTTTCAATACTTTGGTATATGTATCCAGAAGTAGAATGGCTGGGCCATATGGTAATTTTATGTTTTTTCTCCATTGTAACAGAGTCACTGTCTCACCAATAATTTGTGAGGGATCTAGTTTCGTCAATCAGCAACTATCCTGATGGTTATGAGGTAACCCAGTGTGGTTGTAGCTAGGATCAGTTAAATATCTTAATATGAATAAATCATGTAACATTCGTTACGTTTTAAGAAAATTTGTGTGGATTTATTTTCTCTGATAATGGCAATTCATTAAATGTGTACACATTAAAATATGAAATCCTTGCAAAGAAATAGTGACAAAAATAGATACCTCCAAAGAGAACACTCAGACCATGATGTATACACACTTTTGAACTAGTCTGTTTGAAAAAGTTATTACAGACCTGGTTTGTGCCTCTAGCCAGGTGGAACTTATTAGTAGCTAATTACTATGTTCTTATCTGAAAATATCTGCACCTGCTACTCCCATGTGTTTTTCAACACAATGTCTGTTATAAAGTATATTATGAAGGAAAGGCAATCATGCACAATGCTTAAGTGATATTTATATTAAGCTTGAGCTACATTAGATCAAATATATCATTTTAAAAAATTAACATCGTTCAAATTACTCACCCACAAAGGTAGGCTGTTATACTCTATATTTTAATCTCTTTGAGATCAAAGGCTTTGATAGTTTATGTCTATTCTATATATGTTCCATTATGGTTCCATTCCTGCCACTTAGTAGGCATATTGGAGGGCTGTTTGTCAAACAAATGAATGAATGAGTGAAATTAATATTGCTGTGTACACCAAGACTAGTAGAAGACATGTACTCAAACTATGGTATGTTGACCAAAGTTGGTTTATCACAGATATAAGTACAAAGTAAGGTGTCTGGGAAATTCAAGTGACCATATGCCCTTGGCTCCATCTGCTAAAGCCTAAAGATAACACAAGATTTCATTTGTGCTGTTTATTTTTTTTCAACAGCATGATGAAGATTTATCTGAGGCTCTTTCGTGGGATCAGTTCAATGGATTTAAACACATGGGTACACTCACAAGGTCTCATCAGGAGGAAGGTAGCAGGCCAGGCATGTCCATCACCTGTCCACTGATAGAGTTAGTGCACTAAAGAAAAGAGGAAAGTGAATCTGGAAGGGCAAAAAGGAGACAGCTGGCATTGTCTTAGACTATTGCTCTGATCTAGCCAGCTATCAGAGTGATAAAACACAGATGTGACATGTAGTCACATACATAGCACATCCAACTACACATCATGCTTATACCCACTTTGCTTTTGATTTTTTTAAGTCATAGATGCAATTAAACATATCCGCTTTTAGAGTGAAACTAGAAGCACACACACACACACACACACACACACACACACACACACACACATCACTCCTCCAAGTGAAGGAAGAAGAAAGGAGATACAAAAAGAAAAATCAGGAAAGGAAAATGGAAATATGGAAGGCTGAGAGAAAAATAAGGAAAAACAAAAGCATATACATATGATAGAAAAGATAAAGGGATCAAGAAACATCCCGTTATTAAAAAACACGATGGCCTGCCCAAAATAGAAGAAGATGGGGAAAGGCAGGCAGAAGAGGAGGCAGAGAAAATGGAGGCAGCAAAGCTGTGTCCCTGAAATCAGGCTGTAAGTACACTAGTTCAAGCTGTAGGCAAAGCTACATTGTGTAAGTCATTTAATGCTGGGCAAAAATAGTAATAAAACATATTTTATTATCTGACTTGTCACAAATGTTCTTAATTTAATTTTATAAATGAATAAAGTAATATTCCATGGAATGAATGAATATATATATATATATTGAAAAGAGAATTATTACTATCCATCACTCATAAACTGCTTTTATCTTCCTTAACATTCATTCCCTGTTTTCCTACATTGCCTTATGTGACCCTTTGTATGAATGTAATCCTTACCTATAATAGATGTTTGCTGTATGTACAGATACAGCTATTGATACATACACTTTCTATTTTTCTATTGAACATAGCATAAGTTTGAATACTACTGAGTTCTCCCTCCAATGGTCTTTGCATACATCTGCTATGCCTCATCGTGTGCCTTTGACAGCTCTAGTCTGAGAGTCACATAGAAAATGAAGAGCGCATTGCTATAGCCAAGGAGTGATAGAGTTAGGGTCCAGGTCTCTTCAGTCTCTTGCTCTTTTCTCTAATTTGAAAACCGCCTCCCTAACTGAAGAGTTTATTTGAAGGAACAGAAAAGCAGTGATGTGTCAGTAAAATGTCACTTGGATTCTTCTTTTTTTCCTTAAAAACATAAAACTCTCTCCTTGTTATTTCATAAATGCTAGAAACATAAAGAGCAATGCCATCATTTCAATGTGATAATCTGCTTTCAGATGATATTATTACTTATGTCTGAAGTCAAATTCAATATAAACTATGCCATTCATTCTATCATAAGTCATTATTGACTTAAAAATATATTTCAGTGCAGAAACCAAGAAAAACATAAGTTCACTATACAGAATAACACAACAGTTTTACTTGGGGATTAGTGACAGTGACCTCAACGATGAGTACCTCAAAGGCTCTGTAGCATGACACAGAATACTAACTCATCAGAATACAGTTAAGGAAGACAATTCTTTGACAAAGGTACTCATGTTGCTAATATAGTCACTTTGTAGCTAGATAATGCTGGTGAGTGGGCAGTGTTGACTCTCGTTAATCAAATAAATATGAGTGTCTATGATATCAATAATATTTTGATAAAGAGGAGAAACTAGGGGCAGTTATTACAAATTAACACAGAATAAAAGAAGGTAAGAAGATTCTGTGAGTCCATATTTATACACAGGCAAAATTACTCTTTAATGAGATAGTTCAACTTTTCAAACTCCCAGTGACTATGAACTTTATAAAGTGTGACAGCTGACCTGAGCAAGTGGGAGCTAATGGACCCCAGGCAGACAGCTGGGGAACCAGCATAGGACCCATTCAGGCCTCCTGAACTTAGATGACTGGCAGTGGAACTAGTATTTATACCTCCATAGAGCCATACTCTCTCAGCCTAAATATATTGGGGAGGGCCTAGGCCCCTCCCCAAATGATGTGACAGACTTTGATAAACCCCTATGGAAGGCCTCACTCTCCCTGGGGAGTGGATAGGAAGTGGGATGGGGGGGTTGGGAGAAAAGGGAGGATGGGAAGGAGAGGAAACTGGAATTGATATGTAAAATAAAATTGTTTCTAATTTAAATAAAAAACCCAAAATGGAATAAAAATAAAGTGTGGTGATATCTTGCTTGTACAAATAATGCCTGTCTGAGGGTCAAAGAATGGACCTTGCCACTAGCTAACCATAGAGGTCTGGAGGTCTGCACAGACAGACAGGAAGGGAGCTAGCTGGGTGGAAACAGGATATAATCAGGGAGAGACAGGAACTTGCTCTCTTGTCTTCAGAGGTGCTATGGAGGTAAGGTGTGGTCATGGCACCCACTCCTTCTCTCTGATGTCTCTGCATTTTCCTCTCTATCTGACTCTGTGTTTTTATTACTTAGACCAATTAAGAACTCCATTTACAATTAAGTATTTATTTACTTTGTGTGTTGGGGGAGGGGAAATATGCTTGTGCCATCTGCAAGTGTGAACTCCAGAGGACAAGTTGCAGGGGTTGGTTCTGTCCTTCTATCATGTGTACCCTGAGGATCAAACTCAGTGGTCAGCATTGACAGAAAGTGCTTTTACCTGCGGAGACATCTTGCTAGCTGTAGTATGAACTTTTATAGTTTTAAAAAACATGTGAATGAAAGAGTCCACAGTTCAAAGTTAAACTTTCTTGTATATTAGGAGCTGCTTCTTGGAGATTGAAGGCTGCAAATTCAGCAGCCTTACTTACCCTCGGATTCTGGTGAGAGGGTGTTGAATCCCCAGATTGGCCTGGGTACCCCTAAGCACGCTTTAACATGAAGACTAAGCATTTCCTTGAATGGTTTTCAGACTGAAATTCACTGTAGCCTAGTTCTGAGATGACACAGAAACGGTAGCATTCCTGGAGAACTTTTCTGAGCCTCTGAAATTTTGCAGGGAACTGGAATCTGTATGACACCAGCAGCTGGCATGGAGCCAGTTAAGTTTCTGGGGGTCTCTGAACACACATTTGCAGAGTTGCTGAGTTTGTGAGCCGATGCTTGTTGCCTCACACTCAATTTATTTCTAGATCCATTCAGAATCCTGTGAGAAACAGCACCCTCGCCTGCCTCGATGTGGGTAATGCCACAGTGCAATCTCTAGCTTTGGGCTTCCAATGTGTTTGATTGGAGCACACTAAATTTGCATTTTAGATTGACTGGATCTGACCTTTCTGGATTTATATTCTTGATCTGAGAATCCAAGCTGTGTGTATAAATAAATTCACAATTTAAGATCCATAATATATGGCACGTATAAACAAAATGTGTAATTTACACATTAGCCACAGATTTTCTTCAGAAAAAAAATGATTATTTTACATTAACTTTGGGTATGAGTAGAAATCTGTGCAGCTGCAATTTATGTGCAGTTTCAGTTATGAGCTCATTAAGAGAAAATTGTGACAGTTAATCAGCATGCAAATGACATGTTTACATATGACTTAGAATGCATTTTGACATATGCAAGAATACTAAATATCAAAATTTAAGACATTAGCCTTGCAGTGAAAAAATACAAACTAGAGAAAATCTGCCTTACTCACAGGAACCCTGAAATAAAAATTTAATTAATAGTTATGAAATTAATACTTTTTCTGTGTTTATAACAGGTGCAACATGCACTCAGTTCTCACTCCAAACCTCACCTGTCACCTCTATTCAAAAAATTCTAGTATGTTATTCATTTCAGTAACTGAAGATTATGACATGCATTCGGAATTGAAATGAGTCTGCTTCAGTGACCATCCTGAGTTATTTTCTCTTCATAAATATTTTAAAACATACTACAGTTTCTGAATGTCAAAAGGGAAGTTCATATCAACTGTTAGGAACTTCAGCAGGTTCCTAAAGGAAAGGAGTTGTGAATTAAAACAGATCAAAGGTAGGTAGGTGCATAGGTAATGGAAGGGGTTTTCAGCTATATGCTTCAGTTGTGCTTTTTAGTTCCCATCACTCCCATGGGAGACCCTGAAAGCGGTGTGAATTAGCATCTCCTCAGCAGCCCAATTAGGCATTATGCTAATTGTCTCACATCCATTATCCTCTTTAAATATCAGTATTTCTAGAAAATGTGACAAACCGAGGTTAAGAAAATGAACTTGGTCAAACTCAGGAGGGACTCAAAGTAGAAAACCCTGTTTCTAAACCAGGTATGGCTCCAGCTGCATGGGGAGGAGAAACAGTGAAATATGATATACCCTCCAGAGAGAATCATTCCCTTCCTTCTTCACACTGTCTTTCTTTAAATTTCTTCGCCATTTCCTTGGTAGATTAGTGGTTCATGAGTGTAAGGTTGGACTTCATAGATAGCAGCCACAAGCACTCCCTCTCCACAGTATAGACTCCCTAAAGGACAAATGATATCTTCACATTACAAATAATGAAAAGTCAAAAGGGGGGTCACCTGAAAGAATGCACGATCTGGACAGATGTAGACAAAACTGGGTATGCCGGTACAAGGGACCTGAGGTGGGACCACCTCTGCACTCTCAAGGCCAACAGTAGCTCTCCTCTCCCATAAGACAATACAGAAAAAAGGATGAGGAGGAAAGAAAAGCGATCTGGGTGGAGAATAATTTAATAAATGACAGGGCCGCAGTGAGCTAGCGCTGTGTGAAGTAGAGAATGGAATGGCAATGAGAAAATATAGCATGGTTTAGAAATGTAGCTATGAAGTAGGGGAAAAAACGAAAACAGACAAGGGGAGAATGTACAGAAACAAAAGACAGGGGAATGAAAGGAAAGAAATTAAACTGTGTTTAGACTCTTCCACAAAGTATATGACACTGTGTAAGCTTCATAGTAACTCATCCAAAGGCTTCATAGAATGTTTTCTCTCCATTTGCTAAATGAGAATGGCAAACACATTTTAGATAACACTGAACCGACAGAAAGCCCAAACTAGAAAAAACATCTTGTGATTTCTGCCTGCCAGATATTTAAGCTTAGATGGGAAACAAGAAAATAAAGATAGATATTTAGATTATTGTGGAGAAATGTCATTTGCTTGCTAAATTAGAAATATTCTTTATGATGCTTCTGGTTAAAATATCTCACATATTTGTTGAATTAAATAGAAAATATTTTCTAAATTCCCCCAATGTTTACTGCATTCATTTTAATAGCCTAATATTCGTGGTTTACTTGCAAATTGGAAGACACTTTTGTGTGTTTGATAATGACCTCTTTTGCTTCTGTTTATTTCACTGTATAAGGAGGCCTTATTAATGGTGCCTACTAGACATTGTAACATCCCTTTCTGAATCTTTGTGATCTGTTAGAAGAAGAAAGAGATAAATTAGTTTGTCGATTCATTTAACCAGCTGAGACAGTAAACAGCTAGAGAAAGTGAGGGAGTGAACAGGGTTTCTTTGGAAGTCAACTTTCTTTGATTGTAGCCAGAAATTAATTAGGATGAAGTTATGTGCACGCACACACACATGTGTATATGTGTATGTACAATCAAATATGAGTATATGTTTATCTACTGTTCCTTTGTATTATGTGTTAATATAAGAATCTAATTGTAAACCAGCACTTTCATGTTTCTTCAAGATAAATGATCCTATTGTTTCTGTCTGACTTACAGTTATGGCCCACATAATTAAGTGTGGCAATTGAAAATACTTACTGTGGCTTTGGTCCCAGGTCAGTTCTTAGGTTATCCAGGCACATAACATCAAAGATTTCTTTGAGACTAGTGTTTCCTTGATATAACAAAATACAAAAGATAATGAACACAAAAAGTGTATTTGAGCTCCCAGTGACTGTGGTTCCAATCCATAACCAATTTGTTCTGTTGCTTTGGGCCTGTGGTGTTGAGCCACATCCTGGAGGAATGCTTCACAGAATGAAAATTGCTTACATAAGTATTTAGAGAAGAGAAGAGAGCAAGAAGGGGACCAGGGTCCCACAGTGTCCTCCACAGTCATGCCCCCAATGACCTAAATGCCCATGCAGCCCTACTTCATAATAGTCTCTCAATAGCATGCTCATGGGATCATGTCTTTAATACATGGCCATTTGGGAAACTCTGAAGGTACAAACTACAGGAAGGCCACTTTTCCCCAGATAAGCTTGCTATGAGGTGCCAGGTTATGTCTGCCCTTCGGTCATTTTTCTTCTATTTGCTCAAAATGGAGTAGAACTCACACTGTTTCTGGAAAATGCTGTCACTAGTTCTTATTTATCTGTACTGGCAAGAGGTTCTTCCTTTTCATGTGATTTTTGACAAGATAGGTGTTGAGTAAGTAATTCACTGGAAATCTACATGAAAGAAATCAGACTGATACTGAAGTTATCAACATAAACCTGAATTAATTTGGAGGTCCATCTTCACGTATCTTCAACAACTGAAAGGTAATTCTTTCAAAACTGACAAATACTTGTGAGAAACCATCTCAATTGCCTTTTACACATCTGCAAACACAGAACATATACATACGAAGATGCTCTTGAGTGAGACTGCGCACTGGGAACTTCACTGCAGTCCTTCAAGCACTCTGAGATTTCCATCTTCTAGCATTATGAAGTTAACTGAAAGTCTTCTGAAATACTTGTTAAAGGATCTCCGCATAGTTGGTTCACAGTACCTGCTGACTGAGACTAAGGAAAAATAGAAAATCTGGTCTTTGGCTATTTACAAAAATTACATTCCATTGAAGATATTTTGTTTCTTTAAATCTTTTTTTAAAACAGTTCAGGAGAAAATCAAATCCCATTTGGAAAAAAAAAACAAACAAGCAAACAAACAAAAGCCCCAACAACAACAAAAACCTAAAAAGTTACAAGCAAACATTAGTAATACAGGTTGACTTCCCTGATCCTGGGAACATTGCTCTTGCTATCTTCGCATCTTGTTCTATATTAGTAGGAAACAAACACAGAGGCTCCCTATGGGCAGTAATTAGCATGTGCCCAAGGGCTGGAGATCATTTCCATAGAGTCTTGCATCTTCCCATCTCCAACCTCCCAGCTAAACAAGAGACAATGAGGCACCTGATTGCACTGGGGGTGCTTCCTTCCTTCCTTTCCCCAGTCTCTACCCCATCTCTCCTGTGAGATTGCTGCCTTCCTAATTTTCTCTTCCTTGTCTCTATTGTTTTTTTTTATCTTTTTTTCTTTTCTTTCAGGTGATCTCTCAGTGTTTTAAACATCTTCCTTGTTTGTTGTCCTCCAGGTGTCTTTTCTAATTATATTATCTGACATTTGCCATTTTTTTTGTCCCCAGTGTTATCTGCCATTCCACTTGCAATTTCATTTTCTCTTCTTGCCCAACACATAATAATTGTACACCTCTACAGTATAAACCATGGAAATTTAGTTCACGTCTGCAAGATGTAATGATCAAATCAAGATAATTAGAGGTTGCAGATGCTTATTATTTCTTCCTGTTTGGAGCCTTTGGACTCCTTCTACTTCTGCATAAAGATGAGTTGTTACAAACTATCATCACCATACTGTACTATGGGACACATTTCTCCTGACAGAATCCTGGTCACCTATTATCTGACTTCCCTCTGTACCTATTCTCTTTAGTCATGCATTCTGGAGCAGAGCAACTAATCTATTTCCAATGATTGCAACTTTTTTTTTCATTATAGTATAAAATGCAGTCTCACTCAGAGGCACACACACATCATGCTTCTTTGGCCCAGGGTATACTTGTTAGTTTTTATGCCAGCTGGACATCAGTCATGGTTACCTGGGAAGAAGAGAAGCAGGGGTCTTATTTGAGAAAATTATTTCAAAGGAGTAGCCTGTAGCCAAGTCTCTAGAGCATTTTCTTGATTGAAGATTGATGTTGGGTGGCCCAGCTTACTGTGGGCAGCACTAATCTATTTATTATTTATTTATTTATTTATTTATTTATTTATTGTATTTTCGACAGGGTTTCTCTGTATTGCTTTGGAGCCTGTCCTGTCACTCACTCTGTACACTAGGCTGGCCTCGAACTCACAGAGATCCACCTGCCTCTGCCTCCTGAGTGCTGGGATTAAAGGCATGTGCCACCAAGCCTGGCAGGTGGCACGAATCTTGCGCAGGTGGTCCTGGGTGTTATAAGAAAGCATGCTGAACAAGCCGTGAGTAAACAAGCTCATATAGTCAGCACTCTTCTATGCCTCTGCATCTGTTCCTGCATCCAACTTCCTGCTTTTAGCTCTCTCTCTGACTTCCTTGGATGAACTATGATGTGAAAGTGTAAGCAAAATAAACCCATTTCCTCACCAAACTGCTTGGTGGTATGAACTTTATAAAAGCAATGAAAACTCTAAAGCAACTGAGCAGCCTTCTCTTTTATGCCTGTTGCCTTCCTTCCCGGTCATACCTCCAAGATTATCTACGACTAGGCTTTCCTCATCCTGTATGACTTTAGTATCCTAGGTAACATTGCTCACTCCTACTGCTCCCAGAAACTTTTAAAACAGCTTTCACAGGAAGGCCTAATACCTTTTCTGACTCAAGGTTGACTTCCAAGAGAAAACCAATGTTTTTCAAGATAGAAATCCTAAATGGTTCCCCTCTTGAAACAACAACAATGATGGTTTACTACCCAAGCTATTCTGAAATGCCTAGCCTATCTAGCATGAAAGACAGGAATATTCTATTTCAAATTAAGATAAAATTAAGAACACAAGGAGGTAAGTGACTAAATTAGCTTTGATTGAAATAATGACTAACATGGCTGATGCCTGATTGCAGCATAGAAGCCAGAGTATCAAATCTTCAAAGACAAGGTGAATGAGAAAGAAATACTCTCACTAGAGCTAGGTGAAGATTTTAAAGAAACTTGTCTGTCTAGAAGCTGGTGTCCCCCTGTACACTTATAACCATTAACAAGTTTGTACATGGATCTTTCAATTACATTGTAACTATTGTTGTATGAAGAAAATGAGGGTGGCAATTTTAAGTTAAAATAGTCTTGAATTTAGTTAAAAGAAGGGAACTTTAAGGAATTGAAAGGCTAAATATTAAAATTAATCAAAACCAGACTGATATGCCAACAAGGATCAGGGAAAGTTCTCCTCCAGATGAAGAGCTACAGGCAAATGAGGGCTGCCAAGAGAGGGAGAATCAGTCTTTTCCAGGGACATTAAACCTCTATAGTTTATCCAATTTCAAGTGGCCAGTCTTAAACAAATGTACAAAATGATCAGCACTAAACAGAAGTGTTTACTTGCATGTGAAGTGTGATTTGTGTGTGTGCATGAGTGTTTGTGTGTGTGTGTGTGTATAACTAAAATTCAAAAAGAGTTTGTGAATTTGAGCAGCCATAGTTGAAAACATGGGAAGAGTTGTAGCAAGGAGAGGAAGTCATGTGAATTATGCAAAAAAAAACAGTACTCATAAATGAAATTCTAAAAATTAAATTTAAAAAAGCAAAATCCATGGTGTAATGAAAGGGACATAAAGACATGTGCATAGCCAAAAGAATTGATTAGGTCCAGAGAGAAAGAAATCAATAATGTGGAAGCTTAGATGAGATAGTGAAAGAGCAAAAGGAGGACCCTGCTCTTCAGATTTTTAGGAAGAATAGTGGCCACATTGAAGATATGACAATTAAAGGCTTTTCAGAACTGGCAATGCACATCAGGATTTAGTCCCAGGGCTCCCAATGTATCCTCAAAGCCATAAATGATAATTTCCTCAAAACACAATAAATTTTTTTTCAGATAAAGGGGCAGTGAGCTATTTAAGTGGTTAAAGGCCCATCAAACCTGTTGACCTGAGTTTGAGTTCAGAGACCCTAAAATGGTTTGAATGAGACGTCCCCACACCTGTGGGGCATTTGAATACATGGTCCCAGTGGTTGGTGCTGTTTGAGGAGTCTTAGGGGTACAGTGTTGCTGGAGGAATTATGTTAATATGGTTCAGCTGTGAGTTTCAAAACAGACTCACCATTGCCAGTTAAAGATTGCCTGTTTGTGGTTTGACATGGTAGCTCTCGGCTTCCAGTTCCAGGTGCCATGTCTGCTGTGGCTGTCTCCACCCTTATGATCTCTAACCCTCTGAAACCATAAATACAATGTGAACTTTGCTCTGTAAGTTACCTTGGTCATGGTGTTTTATCATAGCAACAGAAAAACAATGAATACAGACACACATGGTGGAAGGAGAGAACAGAGTTCCAAGGGTTGTCCTCTGACATCCACAGGCATGCCATGGCACACTCCCACATTTCAGGTAGACTGGGTCACTCTGCGTTTAGTCAGCATGGCACATCCCCTCTCTTACCTTTGACCTGTCAGCTCCTCCCCTCAGAAGGGTCTTTTGTTCTCCATCTTCTCCCATCCTTTCCCTAATCCTAAACATCCTTTGTACTGCTTTTGCAATGACATCTCTCAGAAAGCTTCCCTTAACCTCCAGGTCTGACTTAATCCCAAGCTCACCGCTCTGTACGTCATCTCACAACTATCACTGTAGTCACGGACACCTCATTGGACTAGGATATGCAAAGACTGGGGTAGTATCTGCTAAGAACCTGAACCATAGTCACTATTGAATAAATAACTAAATGTTTAAAATTAATGAAAAAGAGTTAGAAAAAGACTATTAAATATTCATAGTCTCAAATTAGGATACTCATCATGAGATGAGAGTATTTCTTCATGATGGAGCCCTATTCACCAGACTAGGGAGTTACTGGAAAAATATTTAGAAAATTCATATAGAATATATATACATTATATATATAATATATTATTATATATTACTATTATATATTATTATATAATTATAAATAATATATTTATTACTTCGATTAAATATTTGAAAGGTACAAATTATGTACTTTAAAGAAGCTATGCAATGCAATCTGTACTCTTTGCATTGAAAATTAATTTCCTGATTTTACATCAACTTCTCTTTGAAGAGCTTCCTTCCTTTGTCTCAATGTACTGGATGGTGACTTTCAGAGAGAGGAAACTGGCTTCTCTCAACCCCCCACAACTCACCTGACAATGCATTATAGGTGCTGTTAGTCTTCTAACATTTTCCAACAGACTCGCTGCCTTCAGCAAAGCACTGGCTTTATACAAATGCAGTCAGTGCCACAGTCTTGCCTTCATAAAACCTGGGTGCCAAATCTGCCCACAGCATGAATTTGTGAGTTGAGGGAGAACACTGGTATTCATTCCTCTGCAGGTCTCCTCAGAGAAGTGGAAGGGTCAGATGATGGTAATTCTGTCTCCATCAAATGCCTATCAAAAGCAGGCAAATTGGGGGAACAGAAAAGGTAGCAAGAGACATGTAAGAATAAAAGAAAAATGCTAGGCTTTCATAACTGATGACACTTTGATAACAGAGTCCTCACAGACCATTATGCCTTATCCAGCTCTCTGCAGCTGAAAGGACGGCAGTCCTGCTGCTGTGGCAGACACATGTGTCTACTTGAAGAATGCAGACTCATGACAGCCTTGTACTTTTACAGGAGAGCTGGTAAGGCATATCTATGCTGGTAGCTCCAACCCTGAGGATAGTAACAAGTAGAGGAATGTGTAACACAGAGTATAGATTGCTGAATCCAACTCTCAGTATTCTGATCAACTAGGTGATTTTTTTGTTCATTTTCCTTTATATTCTTGTTGCTGTTGTTTTGAGATAACGGCTTGCTGCATAGTGCAGGTAACCTTGAACTCATTGCAACCATCTGAGAATCCCAGGGCTTTAGATTATATAACCTGTTGTTTGACTTTTGCTGGGGAGATGTAAACATATGTCTATTTATCCCATCGAGGAGAGAAATTTTTCACCCAAGTCGAATGCAGTGAACCAATGGGTTCATTGAGCTTCCTTCCTGGAACATGGGTGACTCAAAGAATATAGCTACATTACCAAAAGCCTGCCTGGACACAGTGGCAAATCACAAAACCTTGAGAATCAAGTTCAAATCTCTAGAATTCACATAAAAAACAGGGTGTAATTGTGCTCATTTATAACCCCAACACTGTCTGAGGTGGAGACAGGAGGCTTGCTAGCTACCAGATTAGCTCCAGATTCAATGAAAGCCTTTCTCACAGGGATTTAAGTGGACAGTGATAAAGCAGAACACCCAGCACTTTCAGTAGTTTCTGTGCACACACATGGGAGCCCACACCTGTACACACATGTGCATACAAAAGGCACATATTACACTCACACACATACACATAACACATACACACATACACAAGAAAACGTTCTTTTATGTGCACCTATATATTTATCTCTTCTTGTGGTTTTGATGCCTCCCTGTAAGTCTGAGTTTTCAAGTTCTAAGGATTCCCAACACTCAACAAATTCAACCCTTTGAATTTGTCCTTCTGGTCTGCTAGCAGTGGATCAGCAGCTGTTATTATCTGAAAATTCTGTATTGTCTTCCTTTGAGGGGGTTGGGGGAACAAAAACAAAACAAAACAAAACCCCATATATTCTTTCTGGAGACAAAAATGCCAGTGGAAAGGATATACTTTCAGCATTATAAGGAATTTATTTTGATGGCCCTCCTTGCCTTTGGTGTATTTAGTGAGAAATCAATCATCTTTGAAACACCATTTCCTGTACATATTATTCTATCACCTTCATCCCCAACACACACACACACAAAACTCTCTGGCTTTCAAAATTTTCTCATCTTAGTTATAGCATTTTATAATCTATATACTTATGGCTTCCTATGTATTCATTTAGCTAAATTTCCTCTGGTATTTTTAAACATGAGTTTGTTCTTCAAGAAACTTGATAAATTTCATATATTTTCAGCATATGCTGTTTTCTATTTTCTCCCTTTTTGTCAGCTGAGAGACCACATAATACCTATATCAGACAGCTTTGTATCAGTCCTTATATCTCGGAATGTCTGTTCCTTATCTTCAACCATTTTCTCCTTCAAATTGCATTGATGTGTCTCATGCTCAATATTTTTTCCCTGTTTTCTTCCCATGCACAGCTCTTACACTCTTCCCTTTTTTTCCTTCTTTCCCAAGTCTTCTCTCCATTTCTTTTCTCTTCTCTGTTTTTGTTGTTCTGGGCAACAAGCCACAGACCTTGCAAAGGTTGGCAAGTGTTCAACTCCTGATCTATATACCCAGCCCCAGTTCAACTGTGTTTTCATCATTTCCAATACACTGTTAAATGTATCACATTACACTGTTTAATCTCCAGCTCAAAAATTTACACTAGATCACCATATCCTGGTCCAGATCTCTGGTAGAAGCTTTCCACCCCCATCAGAGGCCAGGCCAGTTCCCAGAAAGCCTGGTGAGCCTCCACCCATCCACCAACCTGCTTTCATCCACCCAATTTAACCCCAAGTGCCCCTCCTCTCCTCATCACCATATCCCATGGCGCACACCTCTGTTGGAAGCCTTCTACCCCATCAGAGACCAGTCCAACTCCCCGAAAACAAGGCATAACCTCCTACCTCATCAAAATCCAAACCAGGATCCTGAACCTCAGAGGACACCTGGCCAGATCAGAGACCACACTCACATCCCCATACTTGAAAAGCAAACCCTTACTGAACCAGAGGCCATCTAGGCCATCAGAAGTCCAGTCCCCAATGTGGGTAGAGACGCTCTACTCAACCACAGGCCATGACAGCCAGAAGACTAGAGAGGAAAGCGAAACCAAGGAAGAAAACACCCATCCAACAATGACAAATCCAGAAATTGGCAACCTAGACCTATAATTACTCCAAATCCAGAAGCCTAAACGCAAGTGTAAGAAAACAAACAACAACAGCCAGGTAAATATGTCACTGTCAAAGGCCAGCCATCCTACTACAGCAAGCCCTGAATAGTCCAACACAACTGAAGCATAAGAAAACAACCTTAAAGCCAACTTTATTATCATAGAGATTTTAAAAGAGAAAAATGAATAAATGCCTTAAAGAAATTGAAGAAAAGACAATCAAAAAATTGGAGGAAATCAATAAATCTCCTAAAGAATTTCAAGAAAACAAAGCAAAAAGCAGACAAACAGTTGATGCAAACGAATAAAACAGTTCAAAACCTGAAAATGGAAATAGAAGCAATAAAGAAAACACAAACTGAGGGATTCTGGAAAGGGAAAATCCAGGTAAGTGAATAGAAACAACAGATGCAAGCATCACACACAGAATATAAGAGATGGATGGAAGAGAGAATCTCAGGCATTGAAGACATGACAGAAGAAATAATACATGGGTCAAAGAAAATGTTAAATCTAAAAAAAATGTAACACAAAATATCCAGAAAATCTGGGACACTATAAAAAAACCAAACCTAAGAATATTAGGAATAGAAGAAGAAGAATCCCAATTCAAAGGCATAGACAATATATTCAACAAAACCATAGAAGAAAATTTTCCTAACATAAAAAAGGAGACGCCTATACAGGTACAAGAAGCTTACAGAATACCAAATAAATTGGAACAGATTAGAAAGACCTCTTATCATACAATAACCAAAATTCTAGAGACACAGAACAAAGAAAGAATACTAAAAGCTACAAGAGAAAGGGGCCAAACAACATATAAAGACAGACCTATTAGAATTACACCCTACTTCTCAATAGAGACGCTACTAAAAGCCAGAAGGGCCAGGACAGATGTTCTGCAGACTAAGAGACCACAGTGTGAGCCAAGGCTATTATAACCCAGCAAACTTTTCAATCACCATAATGGAGAACACAAGCTAGTCCATGACAGAGACAAATTTAAATAGTATCTATCCATAAATCTAGCCCGACAGAAGGTACTAGGAGAAAAACCCCAACCCACGGTTAACTATAGACAATAATCTTGCACTAGCATAACCCAAAGAAGGAAAACACAAGAACACTAGCACCACCACCAAGAACTACAACAAAATGACAGAAAATAAAAATTATTGGTCCTTGGTATCTTTCAAAATCAATGGACTCAATTACCCAATAAAAAGACATAGACTAACACAATGGATGCAAAAACAAGACCCATCCTTCTGCTGCATACAAGAAGCAAACCTCAACATCAAAGATAGATATTACCTTATAATAAAGCATTGGAAAAGATTTTCTAAGCAAATGGCTCCAAGAATCAAGCCTGTATAGCTATTCTAATATATAACAAAATAGACTTCAAGCAAAAATTAATCAAAACAAATAGGGAAGAACACTTAACACTCAAAAGGAAAAAATCCACCAAAATGACATTCCAAATCTTACCATCTATGCCCTAAACACCAGGGCACTCTCATTTGTAAAAGAAACAATACTAAAGCTTCAATCACACATTGACCCTCACACACTGATAGTAGGGGATCCCAGTAGCCCACTCTCACCAATGGACAACTAAACAGAGAAATGCTGGGGCTAACAGACTTATGAACCAAATGGACCTAACAAATAGCTATAGGACATTTCACCCAAACACAAAATAATACACCTTCTTCTCAGTACCTCATGGAAAATTCTCCAAAATTGACCACATACTTGGTCACAAAGCAAGTATCAATGGATGCAAGAAAATCAAAATAATTCCCTACATCCTATCAGACTCCCACTGATTAAATCTGGAATTCAAAAACACCAGAAACATGAGAAAGCCTACAAGCTCATGGAAACTAAACATCTATCTACTGAATTACCACTGGGTCAAGGGAGAAATAAAGGAATTAAAGACTTCCTAGCATTTAATAAAAATGAATGAACAATTTACCCAACTTATGGGACACAATGAAAGCAGGGCTACAAGGCAAGTTCATAGCAATAAGTGCCTTCATAAAGAATTTGGAGAGATTTTTATACTAGCAACCTAACAGCAAACCTAAAAGCTCTAGAACAAAAAGAAGCAAACAAACCCAAGCAACATGGACAGCAGGAAATAATCAGACTGAGCCCTGAAATCAACAAAATAGAAAAACAGAGAAAAATACAAAGAATCAATTAAGCAAAGAGATGGTTGGTTGAGAAAAACAACAAGATAGACAAACCCTTATCCAAATTATCAAAGGATACAGAGAGAATATCCAAATTAACAAACTCGGAGACAAAAGGGGGCACACAACAGACACTGAGAAAATCCAGAAAATCATTAGGTCATACTTCAAAAACCTGTACTCTCAAAAAAAAAAAAAAAAAAAAACCAGGGCTGGGTGGTTTTAAATTCTACCAGACTTTTAAAGAGGAGCTAATACTACTACTCAAAGTATTTTACAAAATAAAAATAGAGCATTGCCAAATTCTTTTTATGAGGGCACAG